CTTGTGCTCGGTTCTACATCTCCATTCTCGTTTGTTGTGGTCACTATATTCACATGACTCTTCTAGTGTGTTGATTTATGCCCTATTTTGGCTTGTCGGTTTTTTTCTTAAGGACTTATGTTTGAAACTGTCATTGTCTCTATTGTTTCAAGCCACTTGTACTGTTCAAGCGATAGGTTTTGGCTCCTTGCTTTTGGGTTGATTTCGTGTGATTTTGACATGGCATGATTGTTGATTCCTGGTCGCTTATTGGTCCTTTTGTTTCCCGTAGAGTTTCCTGTTGGCTACATAATTATTTGTGGGGTTCTTAATGGCAACTTCCAACAATGTTAAAGGTTCTCTAGTGGTTGCTTGAACTAGACTGATGCCTTGTGTTTCTCGCCTTCAGCATGCTTTTCTTAATCATAGGATGTTTTCATCTATACAAGAGTCCTATACCTTGATATCTAGTGAGAGTAATTGTGATGGTCGTCAGTAGTGGCAGTTGTGATGGTCGAGGTACTGGCCATAATGGACATGGTGGTTGTTCTGGTCTAAGTAATCATTCTTGGTGGAAATGTACTTATTATGGTGGCATAGGATATATTGTTGATTATTGTTGTGACAAGTATGGGAGACCCACATATGCTAATCAGGTTTCTGATGATACTTTAAGTTCTCTAGTGCATCCAAATTCTAACAATGGTCTAGTTTCATCTACTTTTGTCTCTCATGATGATATTTTTCTCAGCTTAGTCATCTTATCTAGTAGTTATCCTCACTTTTTCCACATTTGTGCGCTCCTACTGCCGGTGTCACTAATGGAGGTAACTCTGCATTTATGGTTACTTAACCTTCGTCATCGTCGTGGATCATTGATTCAGGAGCTGGTGCTCATATGTCTTGTAATTCTTCTCTATCCTCTAATTTTTGTTTGTTTAAGTCATGAATCATATTAGTTGATGGTTCTTTTTGACCCTTACATGGGATTGGCAATATTTATCCTACTTAGTTTATACCATTAACCTTTGGTTTGTTTGTTCTTAATTTTTCCTTTACCATTTGTTATAATAAAATTTTGGTTTAATTTGATACACGTATTAAAGATATTAATAATGTTTTTGAGTATACTCGATGCTAATGAAAACCTTTTCTGCTAACTGTGACATTATCCATTAAACTACCTATTCACATACCTCCCAACAAAATGGCATTAACGAACATAAACATCATAATCTGTTAGATGTTGCCTACACTTTAATTCTTAACATGCATGTATCAAAACTATATTGGGTTGATATTGTTTTTACTTCAATTTATCTTATTAATCACACGCCTTTTCCCAAACATCATAATTTGTTAGATGCTATCTGCACCTTAATGCTTAACATGCATGTACCAAAACCATATTGGGTTGATATTTTTTTCACTTAAGTTTATCTTATTAATCACACATGTTTCTCCATTTTGGACAACAAATTTCTTTTCTCCTTGCTATATCTTACTACACCACTATTTGGTTCAATTTGTCATATTTTTGGTTTTTTTTCCTTTGTCCATTTGCTTGGTTGTGGTTGTGATAAAATGTCATCTCGATCAGTCAAGTGTTTGTTTTTGGAATATTCTCGTACTCATAAAGGTTATCAATGTTATGACCCTATTTCTCATTGATGCTGTATTAGTGTTGTTGTTTCCTTTTTTGAGTCATTTTCCTTCTTTTTGCGGCAGGATATACTTTTTCTCCAAATTTAGTCTCTCCTAATCAGGGGGAGATCTTGTTGCCTTTTTTTATCAAACTATGGATCTTCTTTTTCCCCGATTGTTAATCCTCCCTTGTAGGTTTATCGTTGTTTTAATGATAAACAGGTTGTTCCATGTGCACTTGATCCACAACCATTGTGTGATTCTATTGAGGTCCCTTAAGCCGTTGGTTGGTTCATTCTCTTGTGATTTTCCTATTGCATTGACGAATGGTAATTGTATCGGCTTTTTTCATCATTTTGTTGTTTTTCATCAACTTTGTCTTTTGTATTTGTTCTTAGTTTCATGAACTAGGCATTGACATTTTCTAGATGGAAACTAGCTATATGGATGATGAAATGAAAGCTCTCTATGAGAATCAAACATGAGACCTCACTTCTCTGTCTTCTGGTAAACAATCTATCAGTTGTCATTGGGTCAGCAATGTGAAATATCATCCTGACGGTTTTGTTGAGCGTTTGAAAGAAGGATTGGTTGCAGAAGGCTATACCTAAATAGATAGTGTGTTGTTTGAAGAAAGTACTATATGACCTAAATCAATCACCACGTGTTTGGTTAGATAACTTCAGACCATTCGGTTTTTATTCGATGTTCTTCCATAAGTGTTATTTTTCTTATTTTGTATGGTGATGGTATTATCATTAACGGTAATGACTCAGATGGTATTGCCCACTTTAAGATCAATTTAGGGAAGCAATTTTATACCAAGGAGGCAAGGACTTAGATCTCCTTCATTGCTTCCTTGAAATCAAGGTTGCTCGGTCAAAGAAAGGTTTTAGTTTGTGCCGATGAAAGTATGTATTGGATTTATTTTGAGACTAATACACTTGGTGCACGTCCTGCTGATACTCTCATATACTTTATAGTTCAGTTAGATGGGAAGACAGAAGAAGTTTGTTATGACTTAGGGCGTCAACGGAGATTAGTTGGTGAGCTAATCTATTTGACAATTACACGTCCTGATATTACATATGTTTATGTGGTGAGTCAGTTCATGCATGCTTCTCGTAAGACTCATCATGATGCCGCTTGTTGTAGCCTTCAATATCTGAAAAGAGTACTGGTAAAGGATTATTATATCATCCTTCATCATCCATAACTATTGTTGGCTTTTCATTATATTGTCCTTAGGGTTTTGTACATTTGTTTACTTGGCATAGTAAGAAATAGAACATAAGTATTGGGTCTGGCCTCATACTACTTGTGAGATGTTATGGGTCCTTTCCCTACTTCATGTTATAGTTATCACTGTGCCCTCTCCAATAAATGTATTGTGACAACCGGACAATTTTTTTCACTGCTAGTAATTTGGTATATCATGAGTTTACTAAACACATCGAAGTAGATTATAATTTTATCCGTGATCTCTTGATGCGAAAAGAAATTATCACACTATACATCAAGTCTAGTGATCAGCTAGGTGATATCTTTACTAAACTTTGAGCTCAATTTATCTTCAATAAACTTTGTTCAAAGTTTGGCATATTTGATCTTTATGTTCTAGTTTGAGGGGAGTATTAGAATTCTTATATACTATTATTAGAAGTGTAGGGTAATGTTGTAGTTACCCATGATATCGGTCTACTATAAATAAGAGGGTGCAGGACAATATTTTTATACACAAATTTTTCTTACCCTTTCTGTCTCTCTTCCTCTTCTTTTTTTCTTTCTCCCTCTTTTCTTTAACCCTAGTACAGTTGCTATTACTACTTTAACTATTACCTGGACATTACAGGGTGAATAGTCTTAGAAAACGGGATTCTTTCCTCTTATAAGTTGTTCTCAAAAAAAGAAAAGAAAAAGAAAAAATCAAGTGATATTTTGGATCTTTTGTTTTTACTGTCTATGCTAACAATTGGAAGGTCTATCCTATTTAAAGTGGAACAGAAGTTCAGAAATTCTTATGCACACTTACTTTGTTTGGAGCCAGTCCATTGTATATTTAAATACAATGATAAAAGGACACTGTGGACTGAATAACTTATGTCTGGTCTGTGCCACACCAAAAAAGAAAAGATCTGAAGATACTTATAAAACCGTTGAGAGTAAAGATTCCGAGTAATTGGGTTTTCTAAGAGTTAACAGCAAAATACATGTGAAGAAGAAAAATGAAAATGCGTTCATCAACTTAGTGGAGGGATTACAAATTTACAATATAAAGAAAAATAATAGTCCAATCCACAAGGCTTTTGCCATGTGTAGGATGGTCAGATGTACGCAACTTATTAATAAATTCAACTGTATTTATTGACTAAAAAAACTGTGTTTGCCAATTTTGGGAAACAATATCATTTATTTAGAGGTTAAACTTTTCTATGGAATCATCTTAAAACTGTATTATGATTTCTAGCAAGTTTCTTCACAGAAACTGTAATTATTAAATAGCTTGAGGAAAAAAGAGCAGCCCGGTGCGAAAGGTACCCACTGTTGAGTGTACTAAAATTCTGTAGTTGTTGAACTTCATGCTTTAGTAAGCATTTGGCCTTACACTTTTAAGTGCAAGTGTTTGTGGTTATCCTTTGATAAAAAAAAAAAGCATTTGGCCTTCTATATGATACCATCTAAAACAATGTGTAGTTTGACAAGGTTATTTTAGATCATGTCAGAGGAGAGTATAATCCTATTGGAGATGTTGAGAGAACTTAGTCTTTCCTTGATATTGAAATCACTTTTTTAAGCCAGTAAACAGCTTAAAGTCATATGCTGGATTTTTATCACCACTATACGGAATTTTTGTCTTGCTCTTTATTGGCAGCAATTGTACGGACTTAATAACTGTTACAAGTAATGGTTCATTCGTTTTGTTGAATGGTTCTGCTCGAGTACTACATGCAAAATTTATAAGATCAAGATGGAAAATTATTGTTTACACTGAGATGAAGATATAAGATTTACATCTGAGGTTCGTGCAGAGGTAAATGGAAGTAACCATGGTTGAGTCAAAAGCTTCATAAAACATGTTCCTTGAGAACATGTGCACACTGCTTTTTGGTTCTGTGTTATTGTTCTTGAAGAACTCCGAAAGCCGACAAAAAAACTTTCTGGTTTGTTTACTCTCAATTGCTGTTGGAAAATATACTCTGGAGATTACTTGAAAACTACTGAATGTAACTCGGAATCCATGGACAAAATACAAAAGTGATTCAAAATTTTTCTTTTTAATATCTGATAATAAAATTCTCGGGCTTGACAGAATTATTTTTTTTTTTTGTTTTCCCGTTTCTTTTTGATTTGTAGGTTTGGTTGGGAATGTTCCAGTTATGCTTGCTAAACCGCAAACCTTCATGAATGCAAGCGGTGAGTCTGTAAGTAAGCTCGGCTAGAAATATTTTTCACTTAATAAATATGGTCTCGTTTATTTGCTACATTTTTTGACCCATTTTGAAAGGTTGGAGCAATTGCTTCATATTACAAGATTCCGCTGAAGCAAGTACTTGTGGTAAAGTATTCACCACTATTTGTTGACTTGAGCATTACCTCTATAAAATCCCTGGCTCATGATTCTCCTGTCTACAGATATTTGACGACTTAGATTTGCCTTTTGCAAAGTTGAGGTTATTACCAAAAGGCGGCCATGGAGGACACAATGGGTATCTACTATGTTACAAAAGCATTTTCTGTAATTGCTAATATAGGTCTTTGATGCACACTAAGAAGAATGTGAATCCACTATTGCATTACATCTTGGGTTTCTCTATAAGCATTGACCTTATGCATTGCCATTAAGAATGCATGTAGCTGAAAAGATGTCAAGATATGAATTTTCTGCTTTGTGAATATGTAAACAAAAAAGAACCATGGTGACAAGGAAGCACAGTTCCCCCGTATTAAAATGCGTTTGGATGATTTCATTAAAATTGATGGGTTCTTCTTGTAACTGTGGCTTTTATCACTTGAGTTAACATGGCCAAATGTTTTGCAACATTGCTATGATTAGAATATCTGGTGAATAAACCTTTAGGGCACTTTCCTTCTTGACACAATCTTTGGGAAGTCTGTTTTTAACTCAATTGTTGTGTTGCTTGCGGCCTAGTTTTTTAAGAAAATTCATCTGTATACCTAAACAAATTTGTAAGCAAGATGCCATCTCTTGCAGGATGAGGAGTGTGATCGACCACTTTAGAGGGAGCCGTGATTTCCCTCGTTTAAGAATAGGTACTGAGAAACCCAAAATCCGTCTGCCATTATGCATGTTCTTTACGTGATCATGGATATTGTGAAATATTTGTAGGCATTGGAAGGCCTCCAGGCAAAATGGATCCCATGAATTTTGTTCTTCGCCCATTTAACAAACAAGAACATGAAGAGGTATGATGATCTTCCACATTTTCTCTGAAAGGGGCTTGATATTTGTAAGGAATTAGTAGAATTCAGATGCTGACAAGTGATTTATATTTAATGTTCTAATTTTTTTTCCAGTTGCATTTCACTCTCCTAAATGGCTTAGAAGCAGTACGGATTCTTTTGCTTGAGGGTTTTGAGAAAAGCGCGACATTTGTTAATAGTGCGAAATCCTTGGAACATCTTGCCTAAAGAACTGGTCAAATTACATTTATTGGGTGAGTACAAGTTCACGGATGATATTCAGGCAAGGACATAGTGCTATATATGGTGAATGAATAGAATTTTTTTTAGGATTGGGCAAGCCCACAGGGATACATTATAGAGGAATTATGAAATCCTCTTTGAGATCAGCAGGCTGTATAGAGCCTTCTAATTGTTTATATTCAGAGAGATAGGTCATGTCCACAACAAAGGGTTCTATTTTTTCCTCATTTATTTCTTGCCTTTTTAGTTGTTTCAATTGTTAATATAGGTAATCTTTTGGGATTGCACCATAGAGTGCAATCACCCCTGAAGTTTGAAAATTTTCCTAGCTTGATATAGAATATTTGAAATGATTTTTGCAATTTAGAGAGTGCGTCCTTTAATTTTCATTTTACTTTTCTGTTCCATTTTAGTGCAATTCCTGAACTTGTCTTTGATCATTACATTTCATATGATATGATGCATTCATAAACCAAATCTCAGTAGTCAGCTCTCCTACATTTTTCCGGATTGAGGATTTCGCCTACTTTATGGTCATGCTTTGTTGGATCTATGTGGATTGGATATTTTTTTTTTTTTTTTTGGGGGGGGGGGGGGGGGGGGGGGGCGCTTGGTAGGGGTATATGTTGAGTTTAAATTGTAATTGCTTCATCCATCATTCTGTCTGAAGATGAGGTTGTTTTTACCCTTAAATGTTAGAAGAATGAATTGGCTTTTCTTTGAGAAGCTGTTAATGTGATACCCTCTGTGTCTTATTTGAGTTGTGAAGGTTGTCCATTTTTTTTAGGCTCCTTCATTTCAACATTAGAGAAGTTTAGATCGATAGGTGCACTAAGTAATACTATACAATCAGTTGGTTGATTGATTTCTGGCCTAGGCATGTTAAAACTCAAAGCATTCAAAGCTAAGATCTCGTAGTGTTTTAGGTACGATACAATGAACTTCTGTGAATTATCAATTGGTTCAAGGTTATGATCTCATCAGGCTGAAGTTACAACACCAGGGCCTTGAGTTTGAGTTATGATTTGAGTCACGTAATCTGGGTATATCTACCTACGCTCTATGCACGAATTCTGGCTTTGAGAGTGAGTTTGTTACCAATTCTTCCACCACAAAATCACATTGACAAATGGAACAATCTGCTAAGATAGTAGCAATGCCCTCATTCTGCCATTCACGTGATTAACACAAAGATTGACTGTCATTTTTATGTAACGTATATTTTCTTTACTGCTTTCTTGCTCTTTAATTGGCAAAAATAGATTGAAAAAAATCTGAAAACCATCCATCACATCAACAAACTAATGACAAATTGGTGTGCAATTTTTGTTTATATAATAAAACTTACTACAACGGTTTATAACAAACTTCACATATCTCATTTGTCATTTTAAAATTAAATCACTTCTACTGTTGTTTTGGAGTTTTAATTGAATTTATTTTACCTTTTTTTTTTTTTTTTTACTGATGATATACATCCAAGTAAAACAATATTAACTTTTACGTATATTATGTCCACAAAATGACAGTTTCAATATGTCCTTGCTCTTCGATGTTTTTAATTTTTGTCGCTTAGGCGCCCTCGCCCCACTCTATCTGATCTAATTTACGACTTAGAAATTTCCTTAGGGAAAACTAAGGCATTATTTAATGAGACTACAAAAATTATTGTCAAAATGCAAAATATGTTTCAACAAAACCGCCAAATTCCTTTATTTTCTTCTTTTTTTTTTCTTTCCCTTTCGACCTATAATGATGGGAGTAGATTGGGAAACCTGGAATATCCAGGTTGTCATGGGTGTTATTTTTGGACTGGATAAAGTCACAGTTCTCTGAAATTCTAATAATTAAAGGGCATGTTGTAGAAGGCGAGATTTCCTACCACCCTCTTCACAATGAGGGCAGCATTACCCAGTATTGATCCTGCCTGGTTTGTTGTGTTGATAGAACGAATCTCTGGAGCCCAAAGTTCCAACCAGATAAGAATAAATCCTGCCAAGACATACCCGACTCACTTTCTCTAGACTAGTTTCTCCACACAATGGGCAATTCTGTTTCACTCCCTAAAATGCTACTACGAGGCATACAACTAATAACCTAGAACACACAGCTACACCAGCCAAATACCAACAACTAACAATGCAGGCCACATAGTTGATTGTACCAGGAGGGTAACACGGGTTGAAATTATTTGTATCAATGTTGTTTGCCATCTATATTCTCATCTTAATTCAACAGACATGGTAATCACAGTGAAACAGTTCTGTTTACGAATTTTATGTACATATAACCACAGTCCTAACATACAAAACAACATATATTGTATTTACCTGAGGCATGCAAATTTGCTAGTGATTTAACAACCTCCACTTGCAGGATCAATTGAGCTTAGAAGGCCATTGCCTCTCAGCTGCATGCAGTGTTCCTCTGCGTCTACTTGAGCACAGATAATCACCACTGACAGACCATTGTAATGTGCTTCTTGCATTATATTAACAGCATTGTCAACAGTCATCCCAGGTATAACCTTCATCAGCACTTGCACGACGTACTCCCTCTTATTGTAGTTGTCATTGTGCAGCAACACGCGATAAGGCGGAGACATTTTCCTTGATTTCCTGAAAATCAACAACCTAATTAAAAAAAACTTCCTTTTGAAAAGCAATAACAGTGCTTGAATATATGATTTTTACCTCTATTATCTTATTCTGTTTCCCATGACAAATTTGAACCACACAGAAAAATGAGCAACAAACAGATTATTTTGTTATAGTCCAAACAAATTAAACCAATGCAGAAACCAACACAAACAACAAACCCACCACCACAAACAGAAAATTCATTAACATAGAACACGACAAAGGCAAAAGAGCCAGACCAAAAGAAAGAAAAAGGGAATGGTTTGTTTTAGGCACCGTCTGGTGGTGCTTTCCTTATAAGCAAAATAAAAATTTTGTAAAACTTTTGCTTTCTTGCTTAAAAGCAAACCGCAAAAGTACTGCTGACAAGGATTTAACAAAGATAACATATATCACTTGTATATGCATATATGTCTTATACTATATATGTGATAAAGCTTATGGGAAAAGAGAGAATCCACATAACAGAATGAAAAAAAGGGAGAAAAATACTTTTGGAAAACAACCTTTTTGCTATTTTGCTTGTTAAAAGTACTTATATTTGCTGCACAAAAAACACTTAAAACGCATTACCAATTGGTACCTTAATTTTTATTATTGTTTACAGCAAAGCAACGGTGCACAGTCACTCAAGTCAGTAATGCAATATCAATAGAAAATAATGAAGGCCACTGTCTAGAAGCAATTGCAATCTACCTGAGATTGATCTGTGATTCAAAAGGAGGCAAATGTAACATGAATTACATGATACACTCTAATCCAGCTGTACCCTAGAGGTTTCGGAAAGAATACCGATTGCATAAATTCTAAACTTCCTAAATCCATCCAGTTTATCACAAAATGCTGTAATCTTGGACAAAAGTTTCAAGTCAATGCACACTAGTGGTTGTATCATGCACAAATCAATTTCCACTAATAAACACCTGGATAAACCAAGTGATGCCCTCCAAATACCCTACATACAAGCCAGATGACTGCCAGTATAGTCATCCACATGCGAAATAGATAAACATGCAGAATATTGAATGTAGGCTGAAATATATCAGCTTGGCCAGCAAAGGGTCACTAAATAGATTGAACTAGCACTGCCACCCATAAGATTTAGTAATCACTTTTAGTGCAGGAGGGGTAATAAATTTATAGAAATACACTAGCTCAATCAACACAGCATTGCAGCCTTTCACCTTTGTTACCTCCAGAACAGGGAACTTTCAGTTCTCTAGGATAACATCCGCACCAGGATCTGCAGCGAAGGCAAAAGCATCTTGCAGCTACAAGCCACAGCATTCAGCTCAAACTCTGGACACCAATCCATGAGGCATGCATGGTAACAAACACATGAAGATAACATCACAAAAGTGGACGCTGGACAAACAGAGCCACTTTGCTTAAATTCGTACATCAGATGATGGCCACGGTTGGTCAACTCCAACTCATTCCCAGTTCAGCACCACATGGAAAGTTATCGTATTTACATGTCACGAAGCAGTCTAGAGACATCAAGAATAGATGTAGCATATTTCTGTGAATATTAACTCCAGCTTGATCGTAAAAAGTTCGTTTTGAAGACTCATCAGGTACACCTAAACCAAACGAGGAAAAGAAAAAAATAAGCTTAAGTATGCTCAGCTCATCTCAACTTAACAAGCCTATTTCACCAACTAGGGGTTGGTGCATGACTTTTTTGGGTCCAGTGATGATGTGGTAGATTGAACCAAGCTACTTGAGAACGAGTTATGGATAAAGGTTAGCTTGAGATCAACTCAAGAGGTCAACAAGCCAAACTATACTATAAAGCTCATTCAATTATTGTTCATAGCTTGATTTCAAATCGATAAGCTAGCAGCCATCCGATGGTACATAAAAAAACCAAGCTAATCGTAATCGCATCGGTTCGAAACTCACTCAAGATTGAACTCTGAGATAAATGAGTCAATCTTGAGCTTCACTTGAAGCTCGTTGACATTTCCGAGCCAAGCTTAAGCAACCCAGTGCCTGTCTTGACCAGTCTTGTTTACACCACCCCTATATGATGATGAGGATGAGGATATCTCGTTAACTGATTGAGAGGCAGAGATAGCATTGACATGGATTTGCTCAAAATATTCATTGCAGATGTCAAAACTCATATGGTAATTAATTGAGAGATAGAGAGGGAGGAAGGAATGGAGAGATTCTGCTACTTGAATTGCCACAATGTTAAAAATTAGGTGCTTTTGTATACTCAAAGGAGGTATTCAAGGACATGGCATACCCAGTCTAAGATATAACATACTCAACTTTCACAATCCGAGGGACTAGGTAAACACTTCCTCCCACATCTTGAGAGGTCAAGAATATAATATGCCCTTTGATGGGAAGTAATGTACAACAAATATCAAGGTACAAAAAGACTACCTCAGAGTCCGAGGGGTTAGGAAGGAGCAAAATACACCTAAGAAAGCTTCTCTTAATACCCTTTTGCTTGTCCTTTTATTCTTCCCATTAGGTAGGCGAGTAGATAACATCTCGGGCAAGGAGCTAGATGTACCCACCTTTGCACATGAATCTTCCATTTGAAGTAATCTTTCTTGAAGTCTTTTCCCATTCTCCTCTCTTGATGAGGACCCACCCTCCCTAGAAGAGTTCGAGGACTTTGAATTTTCCCTTTAGGTGTATCTTGTTCCCTGATCTCCTTACTTGATCCAAGAATCGTGTTCCCTGATATTCTAGCAAGGGCCTCTGCAGCCTTGGTTTGGCAGACATAAAAGCCATTATTCAATGCAAAGACCTTCACTAAATCTTCCTTCCAAGTTCTCTTAGCACAATTCTTCTAAAAATTCAAAGATAATTTTTGATAAGCAAGTACCCAACCAACGCAAATTGCCAAAATGAATGACCCTTACTAGATATGCAACGGCAACATCAAGAATATCATCAATTACTTCCCAACAGTGTAATTTTTCACTGTCTGAGAAAACAGTCTAATTTTTCAAGATCTGAATTTTTTGTGATTTACCAAAATTTCATTAAGAAGCATTTATCAGCAGGGTAATTACCAGATAGAATTGGAGTGGATTGATTTTGTAAGCCCATCTCCTTTTACTTTATAGAATGAAAATTTTCTGTTTTGTACAAAAAAAAATGGTATGGGTTGCTGGTTAGGTCTAGAGGAGAGGCGGGAATCACAGATTGAGCCAAAATTTGGAATAGAAGTAACACCAAGTTGGAGCGGATCAAGTGCAGCCATAGAAGGTTTCCTGAAGGTCATGGACACTCAGACATGTGGTTACCATTGGTTCCAACTGGTTTTCCTCAAGGTCAACCAAATGCACCATCTCTGGACTCACAGGATCCCCAAGTCTCACAGATGGTTAATATTTTCACAGCAACTCCTTGCTCACGTTCCTTGGCTGGCGAGGGGTAAATCATCCCTGTCTTCTCCAACGTTCCTGCCTCCGTGGTTGGAGTTTCTCGCTGTTTCCACCAATACCTGCCTCTCTCCATGGTAATTCCTCTCCGCGCTGGTAGAACTCAACCTGCATAGAGAACATCAAAGCTTGAAGTGCTAAACTCCATGGTTGGGTTTTCCTACCCAAGCTGATCTTGGTTGCACAACAAAGCAACCCAGATCACTTGCAACCAAATAATGATGCAAGTGTTGGTGAATGTCCCAATTCAGCATTGTCCGAAATTCCGTCAAACTCATCATAAGATTCATCTAAATCTTCAACCCTAAGCTCTTTGGGTGGAGAAATTTGAGATTCAATAAGGAAAGTTTCTTAGGTTTCACCCTTGAAGGTCTCTTCTCAGACCTTGCCTTCTTTCTCATGGTTTGAGAATTGAGATAGCCAACCTGACGGTCTTAGGTGTGTCTGCTATGGTGCTCACATTCTTCATGCTTCCTGTCCTTGAGATAGAGTTTTTTCATTTCGAATCTTGTATGCCCATATCATCTAAAATGACTTTTAAGAGTAAAATAAAATTATTGGTTTTGATGAATCCCAAGTAAGGCTAGACTGTGTAATGAATCCTGGCTAACACCCAAAGGCCCAAACAGTCACTACTATATATATAGGAAACTTCTCCTCAGACAAAACTTAAATGTGCATTCAAAATACTCGAGAAAACTGAGACTCACTAGGCCAATGCATTCTGCATAAAACACTAATCCCCATTTGGCCCAGTGCACACAGCCATATAAATATCTAAGCAGTGCCTATGTGCCCTCAAAACTGTAACAAAGCTGAAAAACTGGATTGTTGATCTTGAGCATGCTGCAATCCCAACCACTTTGCCTACATGTTGCAAGGTGATCCTAACTTTTGTTTCGATAGAAAACGAAATGCTTGTAATAAAAATTGAAAATAGTACATCATAAAAGGTTGGATAAGAAATCCAACCAAGAAATAAAAAAAAAAAACAAAGAGAAAAATAATACATAAATAGAATAGAAATCACATGACGCTCTTCATCCCACTCAAATAGCAAAAAAGCATATTTCATTTGAAATCCTTACAAACTAACATTGAGAATGACGCTAAACAATGAACACGGTCCCCTAATCCTTCAATCAACTCACTTTAATCTTTAAAATTCTTGCGGTCCTTTCCTTCCAAATAACTCAAACAGTAGGAAGGATGGCACAATCCCAATGAGTCACCCCTTTATCATGCCTCTCAAGATTTTTCAAATCTTCAACAAAAAAAGGAGGTAGATTATGTAGGAATCACCCAAATCCAACCCAACCTAAACAATTTGTATCACTAGGACAAACTAATAGGGCATTTTAAAACAAATGATCAGGACTTTCATAACCTCCTATTACACATCACACACACAAGTATGAGACCTTCCTTTTTGAAGCATATTAGTCGTGTCAATCTCACAATATGCAACACTCTATGAAAGACTTGCACTTTAATAGGCACTTCAGCTTTCCATATCATCAAAGCTAAGAAAAAGAGAGGACATAAATGTACATCCAACAAAGAAGCAAATGACTTACAAGAGAATGCACGCAAGGCTCAAGAACTCATCTTCCTTTATCAAATGACTCTTGATTCAAAATAGAGCCACTTAAGTAAAGAAATAAATGGCATCAAATCCCTAATGTCTCTATCATCTAAATTCGTATGGAACCCGAAATCCTAAGAGTACGGAAGATCATGAGACTGAAACATAGAAGCCCAGGTTGATCTTGACTTAACAGAAAACTCCCCCAAGAGTGCACAAAATCCTTCCAATAACTTATTTAGAAGGCTAAATTGGGGCATGCCAACCGAAAAAAAAATGTGCCATGTTAAATACTGTCTTCTTCTTCTTCAAAGGCTACTTTTTAAGGTATGGTAGACAGAGTGCGATGCCTAATTTCCTATTGACTAAATAAATAAATGAACTTTAAACAGGAGGCTTCTTTTCAAGTAAGATGGTTGCTAAAATTAGATGCTTAATTTCCACTTGACCATAAAAAACAAGTGAATTTTACTGGTGTCAGGTATTATGTGTAAAATACATTGCTCTCCATCACTCATATACAAGGGGATGTGGGTCATTTAGTTCTGTTTGTTTGAAGCTTCCTAAGTGATCCAACCCACACAGGACTTACTTTGAAGGCAGTGGTTCAATCAACTTCCTACAGAGCTTTGATTTGCAGAAGTTGGGCAAACAAAAAGTAGGATTAAAATATTGGTAATAACGCAGGGAAAGATCCCATCTCCAAGCATGAATAGAATTCAAAAGGTCCATCCAAAATACACTTGTATACATGCAACAAAATACCAAACCAGCCACGAAACTTTGTATCCATACCTCAAGTCAAACTCGCAGTCACGGCCAGGAGTTGTTTTCTCTATGACTGGCTTCTCCAACACCCCGCCACCTTTCCCTGCTCCTATGGCTGATATCGTCATACAGATGCTTCGATTTGCGCACTGTTTATGGAGAGTATAATTATCCCCTGCAGTACATATCATTATCAATTATAAGAATCACAAGCCATGTTAAAACAATCTAGACAAGAAAAGCACACTGTGATACCGTTGGAAGGGAAAAAAGCTAGTATAACTACAGAGAGAACCTAAGAAAAAGAGAGCTATCATTTGTACAAGACTTGGTAAAACAAAATCGTGACACAAAAGGCCTAAATAACAAGGCTTGCGCAACATGTGAATAACTCCAAAATAAATGTAATAGAGATTATATCTTTTTAAATTTCATAAATATGTGGAGAACATTATGACAAACTCAACGAATAGTTCTATGTCATCAAGGAGAGAAAAACTTGCTTCTTCATCACTTTGCAAACAATCCACAAATAACAATTAGAGAGAACCATGGCGAATGGTTTCTGGCCTCTAAATAAGTAACTGCCTATGCTTGATAGAAAGATCGATTATGTTGGTTGCCCAAAAAAAAGTTTGCTAAATAGTACTAGAAAACCTTCAAGTTGTATGCATTATAAGCATGGAATCTACTCCCCAAGGATCATAATTTCTTGGAGTGTTTTTTTGTCAACAAGGGTAATAATCTGCACCATTGCATTGAGATACAAAAATCAATTTCACTTCACCATATTATGTGGTATCCCCAATAGTCGGTTTGGCTTCTTAATTTTACCCAAGCAAGATCATTTTCACCATTTTACTCAAACACAACGCCAATTTTGGGGATTGACTCAAACTATTTTCACAAATGGAGAGACCTACATGGTTTTGATTTATCTAACCTAGTATACACAACCAAGCCAAGCATTGTCGAAGGTTAAAAACTAAATGTAATGTATACAAACCCCATTTTTCTCTGGAATGTTCAATATTCACTCCCCCCCCCCCTCTTTTTTTCTATTTTACTCTAGAAAGCATGGATACGGGTACAGATACAGATACGTGATACAAATACGATATGAATACGACAATACACAAAAGTTAAAAAAATAGGATATGCGTACGGCGAAGATATGTCTATAATAAAATATATTTTATATTTTATTATTATTTAACGACTTAAAAATTATAATTTTCAATAATTTTTCAACAGTGTCAACAAAATTCGAAATTCTACATTGAAAAATGTGTAATATCGTTTCATTATGATATACCCATAAAATAAGTATAACTAATTAAAGGAATCAGAACCACATTTAACTAATTGGTTTGTTCACAAATATTTATTTTTAAGATTATAGTGTTACTAACTCATTGTTTATACTCTTTTAACATATAATAGTAGATAATACTTAAAAAATACTCGTGTCCTTAAAATCATATGAAATTTTATTGATATTTTGTATTGTATTTGAACTCGAAAGGAAAGGCTATAGATTAAAATTTAAAATTATACATTTTGCTCTATTTTTAGAAGTATCCGCAAAGTATTCACATATTTTATTAATTATAGGATACATATGATGCGTATCCGATATGTATCCTCAATTATCCGATGAATATCATATCCGATATAAATACATTGATCTTAACAAAGTATCCGTGCTTCTTAAATTTTATTCAATGTATATTACATTTAACCACTCGTAATGTGGGCTCGTAACACTTCACATCACTATGGTTAGACTATTTCATCATCTATAGTGTAGGTGTTCAATGTCAATCTTAGTGCTTCCTTTAAAAGAAAAACATGCCGAACTTAGTTTTGTACCCTTGTACATAATACATATCTTCCTTTTTCACGCAAAATAAGCATATCTATTTCTCTATCTATTCTATATGTACATTAAGTATGCCTTCAAAAGCGAAGAAGAAAAAAGCTAAAAAATAAAAAAAGATTGAGGATATTATTTTCTTTTTATACTAAATCGTAATACTCAATAACTATTGCGCTTTGGTCTGATAGCTTGAAGATTTATTGTATAGATTTAAACTCCAGGGTTAGTTGTTTTGGACCAAAACCATGGAACAAAAATTGTTTTGTTTCGATCAAAAAAAAAAAAAAAATGTTTCGGTTTTACTTTAATAAGAAACAAAACATACATGCACTTTTTAAGATGAAATGTGTCGGGTGAAACTTCAAGTGTTTATTATATTTTGAGCAAAACTTACAAAACAACCAATAGTTTCTTCGCTTTTGACCGTTTCTAAGAAACTCACATTTTGCATTGAACTTTTCAAGGTGGCAGACCATACCATTGAAAAGCTGACAATAGTCTGCATGTTGCTTCACCAATGATGCATACTACTACACTTTCCAATTGATAAGGGGTTGACTTGTCTTATTATTCTATATGGAATCGACTTTTTTACACCAAAATCTGGCCTCCTAAATTATTGAAAGAAGGTCACCATTTTATCAAACTTTACAGTAAATGAATATGCCAAAACCGATTCCTTCATGATGGTCTATAGGCACTTGCATCTGGACCCCTAACATCGACTTTATTATAACCCAGATGGGCTGCAAAATACAAGATTTGGTGTGTATTCGACAATATACAAATTTAAATAAATTAATAAGCATAAGAAATTTAAGGTTAATTAATTACCATGAATCTAGCTCGGGTAAGTTTCATTGCGCAAGAGGGAGATAAATGGTTGAAAAGACTTGTATGAAGGAAAAGACCAGCTATTGTCAGGTTCAAGATCTAGATTTGATCCTCCCAACTGCAACTCCCAGTTCTTTTTATCCTTAAAAATATGTCAAAGTCATCTTTAAACATAAAAAATTCAAGTCCTTGATATAAGTGTGTGTAAGTGTGCACTGAATGAACTTGACTGGACTATACATTTAGACAAGACCTATTTTTAACAAAAAAGTAAAAGACAAAAAAATGTTGGTACCATATTGAATGTGCATGTGTAATTGATAATCTCTATGTGATATTTACAAAACAAAAGAAAACCCCAATCGAGGTGGAAAAAAATTCCAAATGTTTTCATACGTTTCTATGACATTTCGGAACTATTTATGGAACATTTCTGTTTTCTAACTAGCTAAAACACATCTCCAAAACGAAATTTTGAACCATGACCCAAACCACAGGGAGATAGCGTTGTTGGTTTAGTAAATTTGCCAAAGAATGCGTAAGTTTCTGTGCACATAGGTGAGACAAACTTCGGATTGGACAAATAGATGCTTCAAACCAAAAAACCTCCCAACTCCAATAATTTATCTTTCATTTACACATACTGCACAATCAATTCATGCTGCTGAATCATAATGTCATTATAGCGTCAAGTAAAAAACCACAATATTCAATTCATCACAAAATGGTAGTATTAACACACATATGTGTACACATATATACACGCAATATATATATATATATATATATATATATAGAGAGAGAGAGAGAGAGAGAGAGAGAGAGAGAGAGAGAGAGAGTACCTGAAGGTTTGGGGTGAAGGACGTGATTGGCGTAAAGAGGAACTCGATTGCAAATGGCAGTCACCATGGCTTTCTCTTCTCACCACACACACAGACACTGATTTTGTTCGGTGAAAGAAAATGCAAATATGGCGATGATTATTTTTATTATTTTTTTTTGATAAAATCCCACTACCTTATGATTTAAAAATCAGCACATAACCTCTGTTTCAAAGTGTGATGTTTAGTCTTGGAGTAAAAAATATGTTCAATTGTTCTGGAAGTTATTTGCCGTTGATTTGGACCTAGTTACACATTTTCCTGAGCTTTGAGTGAGGTTTCTAATAGTTGTGGTACCTAAAAAAGAAAATTGAAGATCGGAGGGGTACTTCGAGGGTTAACCCTTCACGATGCTCAAGTTAGTATTTGAGAAATTAAGGTGCAATAATTGAATTAGGCTTAATGTGCTTACCTGAGTCTTACCCCAGAGGTCTTTTTTTATAATATTTTGATAGGTGTTTTAGGGAGAGTGAACTCTATATTCTCTCGATAGTTTGAATTTGATTGATCTCCTTTCGATTGAATGAATGTAAGGTCTCTTAGCTTTCCTTTTATTTTTCTCTGTTACAGATAGATACTTTCCTTAGAGGTGCTCTTCTCTTTTCAACCTTTTTAAATAAGGTGCATTTTTTCTTAAAGCTTGGTTTCCTCAAGATGAAACAAACATCCTTTATTGATAACTCTTCTTATAAGAAAAGTTTACCACAATGCTTATTACAAAATGAAATGAAGAAATCAAAGTAAGAAAGATGAACTACCATCCTTATTTATGTTTTCAAAAAGTCATTCTCACTAATAGTACTTCTTAAGATGCTCGGCATTCCAAGCATGTGTCAGCTTTCTTCTATTCAATGTCTGCAGCTCATAAATTCTAGGCCTTTTCATCTAAGTGACTTGATAGGGCCTTCCCAATTCAGACCCAACTTTTCATGCTTAGGATCCTTGGAGGCTTGGGTTACTGTCTTCAAGACCAGGTCTCCTAGGGCAAACTTGTGGATCTTGACCTTTCTGTTGTAGTAGCTGGATGTTTTAGCCTGGTAAGCTGCCAATTTGATTTGAGATTGCTCCCTTTTTTTCTTCCAGGAGATCAATGTTAGTGCGGAGCTATTTTTCATTTTTCTCTCCATTATAATGCGGGTTAGGATTACTACCTCTGTTTCGTAGGCTAGGCAAAATGGTGTTTCCCCTGTTGGAGTTCTGATCATCGTGCAATACGCGCCACAAGATTTGAGGTAGTTCCCCTACCCATAGCCCCTCGGACTCATTTAGGCGGGTTTTGGTTCCTTACATAAGTGTTCTGATGGTCAGCTCTACTTGGTCATTATCTTGCAGGTGGCCTGGGGAAAAGTAATGATTGTGAACTCCATATTCAGAGCAGAATTCTCTGAATGGATTGTTGTCTAACTATTTTCCATTATCCGACACCAAAATATGAGGTATCCCAAACAGAAAAAGTAGGGACTTCCAAAATAAATCTCAAAGTCTCCTTTCTATGATAGTAAGAGTTCTGCCTTGGCCTATTTGGTAAAGTAATTGATTGTCACTGTTGCAAATCGGTTCTGCCCCTTTTCGACTGGCAGAGGTTCGACTATGTTAATGTCCCATTGGGTAAACGACCAAGGACTTGTTATAGGAGAAAGCTTTTGTGGAGGTTTCTTTGACACATTTGCAAACCTTTGACAACTATCACAAGTTTTCATAAACTTCATGGCATCCTTCTGCATGGTTGGCCAGTAGTACCCTTGGCGAAGGAGTGCTTTGTAGGCCAGAGCTGTCCCCCCCTGGGTGGTTCCCACATTCTCTTTCATGAATATCTCTAAGAACATACTGAGCTTCCTATTTCTCCAAACAATGTAAAATAAGGAGTGAGGAAACCTCTTTTCTATAAAACTCCGTCTATAACAACGTACCTCGTAGCTTTTCAGTGGAGCTTCTGCATCCCAATCCACTCCAGGGATTACTCCATCTGTTAAATACTGAACAATAGGAAAGGTCCACCCCTTCTCTTACTAGGCGACATTGACCTCTGCCTCGACCTCGTTGATGTTAGGTTTAAGAATGAGCTCCATAGGGATTACACTTGGGAGCACATTATGCAATGATGAAGCCAGGCAAGCTAAAGAATCAGCATGAGTGTTTTCAACTCTAGAAATCTGCTTGATGTTGAAGGCTTCCAGATAGGATATAGACTTGGAAACCTTGGCTAAGTGTGTAGTCATCCTGGTATCTTTGGTTGCGTACACTCCTTTGATATGTTTAACAATTAGCTGAGAATCTACCTTTACCAGGAGGTTTTTGATTCCATGTAACAACACTAAACTTAATCCAGTGAACAGAGCTTTGTATTTCACCTCATTATTTGAAACTCCAAACACAAATCTTAAGGCACACTTTGTCCTAAATTGATCCGGCGAAATTAGGATTACTCCTGCCCCTCCTCCATTGGCAGTTGATGTATCATTGGTAAAGCGGATCCAGCTCTTTTGTCCCAAGTTGTTTGATGATGGCATTATTCGAACGAGGTATTTTCAACAATAAAGGCCACCAATGCTTTCCCCTTTATGGCCATTCTTGACTGATAAGTTATATCGAACTCACCTAACTCAATGCCCTATTTGGCTAACCTTCTAGAGATTTTGGTTACTGTAAAACTTGCCAAATTAGAGAGTCAGTCATGACAATGATTGGGTGACCTTAAAAGTATGGCTACTGCTTTTGCGCTGCAGAGATCAGTGCCAAAACTACTTTCACTAGCCTCGAATAATGACTTCTGCTCCTTTTAAGACATGGCTAGTATATTATACTTGCTTCTAAACTATTTGTTCTTCTCTTATCATGGCAAAATTGGTGGCTCCATCCAAAACTACTAGATAAAGGTACAAAACCTCTCTTTTAACTAGCACTGATAATAATAGGGGTGCCCCCAAATACTACTTTAGCTTTTTGAAAGTTGCCGCACAATCTGGCATCCATTCGAAATCTGTCTTCAACGTCTTAAAGAAAGGCAAACCTTCATCACTGGCCCGCCATACAAACCTATTGAGTGCTGCAACATGTCCAGTAAGGCACTGCATCTCTTTGGTATTTTCGAGGTGGGTGCATATCCATTAGAGCTTGGATTTTTTTTGAGTTTGCCTCATTTCCCCTTTGAGACACCATGAATCCCAGAAAATTTTCAGTGGATACCCCAAAAGCATATTTCACATGGTACAGCTTCATCATATACTTCCTTAGGACCTGGAAAACTTCTTGCAACTTGCTCACATGGTCTTCAGTTGCTTCATTTTTTACCAACATGTCATCAACATAGACATCCATGCTCTTCCCAATAAGGTTCTTGAAAATGTGATTAACCAAACGCTGATAAGTGGCACCAACATTCTAGGTGCATGCGGATCTGATTATACCCTAAGAATGAGTCCATTAAGCTGAGAAGTTGGAAATCTGTTGTTGCATCCACCAAGGGGTCAATCATTGGAAGTGGAAAACAGTCCTTCGGGCACGCCTTATTCAGATCTGTGGAATCTATGCAAAGTCTTCATTTTTCATTGTGTTTTTTTACGAGCACAATCTTGGCTATCCACTCTAGACAATGGACTTCCCGAACTAACTTTGCTTGTATGAGTTTCAGCACTTCCTCAGTGATTCCTTGGCCCTTTTAGTGGTAAAAGCTCTCATTTTCTGCTTTATTGGCTTAAATGAGGGATCCACATTGAGCCTGTGGACTATTATTTGTTGATCTATATCTGGCATGTCCTCATGACTCCAGGCAAAGACATTTGCATTCTCTTGAAAGATTTTCTCCACTTTATTTTTAATATGAGGGGAAATATTAGAACCCACAAACGTAATCTGGTTAGGCTTCTTTTTTAGGTTGAAAATTCATTAGGCCTCCTAATGCCTGTTAAGACGAGGAGGGTCTAGGTCTGGAATTTCAACCCCAACATTTCCTTAAGTAGGTTGTTCTCTATTAGGATTGTCTTGATTGGTATTCATAGCTCTGGTTGACACTATCCATCGGTGTATAGCAAAACTGAGAAACAACTTTGGTTGTCAAGCCATTTTCCACAAACGACGCCAAACTATTGGAGTAAAAAATGTGTCAAACTATTCTGAAAGTTGTTCGTAGATGATTTTGGTTTGGCTACACCTTTTCTTGAGCTTTGGGTGAGTTTTTCAGCAGTTGTGGTACCTACAAAGAAATTCAAAGATCAAAAGGGTGTTTTGGGGGTCGACCCTCAAAAGCTTAAGTCAATATTTGGAAACTTAAGGTGCAATAATTGAACTAGGCTCAATGTGCTTCCCTATGTCTTACCCCGGAAGTCCCCTTTTATATTATTTTGATAGATGTTCCAGGGAGAGTGGACTCTAGTCTTGCTTGGTATTTTGAATTATCCTGATCTCCTTTCGGTTGAGGAGTCTTGGTTATTGTGGACTTTATCTTTTGTTGGGATAGTCATCCAGAGTCCTAACTGTGCTAGGAGTTTGTTTAATCATGCAAATAAGACTTGCCAAGGGTTGGTTTTTATCCTTATCCCTTAGTTGTCTTATCTTCTTTACAGTATTTAAACAAATTCTGCCATTTAAACGAGTTTTTGGCAGATAAAGTTTATATTTTAAAATTGGGGATAAGTTTTGTCATCCTTCTGGTTTCCTCATTCCACCAGGTTGGGGAAAACGGATTATCTGATCTCATTATTCCTACAGCTTTCCTTTTTCTCTAATAGAACAGTCAACGGTTGTATTTCTAAAGGTAGTGTCAACTAGGACATTTCCCTTAGTTGAGATTAAATTTGCCCCTATCAGTTAAATAGTTTTAAGTTTTTGATATTCTACAATAACTACATTGTGGCCCATTTTATATTTGTACAAGTAAGAATTGTAACCCATTATTACAGTTTTTTGGAAACAACATTCATTTCAATAAATGCATGTCTAGGTCTCATTAGTCAAATAAGTAATCAATATGAGTGGAAAACTTCTATGTTTTTCTTCTTTTTTTTTGTTTTTTTTGAATTCCCCCCAAAGCAAAATACCTATATTTGACACTGGTTTGTCGTAATGCTGAAACTATGGTGAATGCATCTATCATCATTGATGTATAAATAAAGATATCAATTAGTAGTCATTGAATTCCTTTTATGGTTCCACATGAGAAATTAGTATGAATATAACCTACGTGTCCAATTGAACTATGAGCTAAAAGTTTTTTGACTTTCGTTTGGGTCATGGCGGTCAGTGCCCCTAAGATCATTGCAAATACAAAATACCCTTGCAAGGGCGACAAGGAGTATATCGATGTAAATGCATGAATGGCTTTGGGTCAACGGGTATTTAAGAAAAT